CGCGTACTGATTGCATGTATATGATAACTAACCATGTTGGAAAAGAAGTTGCCATCATATTTCGCAGTCAGTAAATCCTGTTTGTTCGCATGTCTCGCTAGATGTCTCGCCAGACGTCTGCTGATGTAACGATGACCGGACAAAGTTCTCTCAATATTGATCTTTTGAACATCGAATCAACATTGAATCAATGTAAAGGATTGATGCCATACTGAAGCGTTCATTTAATTAATATGTGAGCAATGCGGCCGCTGTGAAGCTGTTTCACGTGAGTTTGTCCTTTCTTCGTATAACCTATATTACTTCGATACGTGCTAAAGGCATTCACTATACTCAGATAATCGTATTAGTAATAAAAAATAATAAATAAATAAACACATTCATATAGGAAACACTATAGGAAGACCATGTACCATCAAGACCGTCCCAGAAAACACTTTTTGTATTATTACTAAAGAAAATAGGAATGATTTTAGCAGCCATTACAGTTCAGGCTTAATTAAAACATATCAAGTAAGTGTCTTCACGTCATATCTCCTACACCAAGCCCTTGATGGCAATACATAAACACGTCCGTGAATATTTCGGGAAATAAGTCTGACACAGTAATCATTGCTCCTATTTAATGCGAGCAGAAAATGCCATTCTGGTCTCCATTGGTGCGACGAAATTCGAGTGCCTTTCAGCCACTGTCTTATTTGCTCGAAATCGAAGGTTCCTCTTAAAAGAAATATTTACCGGTAGATTGGCTGAAGTAATTAAGTAGTTGCAAACACTGATGGAGAAAGCATTAAAAATAAATCATTTACTGCATATGCTTCGACCGTGAATGGTGCAGCATTGCATGAATGTTGGCCCAAAGTGGGTGTATAAACGGTGACGGTCACCGCGTTGAATCAATGTTGAAGTAACACGGATGTAACAACAGTGATACATTCGATCCATACCCAGTCAACAATGATTCAACGCCTCATTACAAACACGTCGGTTTCTATATCGGGAATGAATATACCAGATTTGTTCGGATTTCGAACTCCTGCTTTGCGTCACCTAGGTGGCCCTTGTGATCCAACAGTCATAGGGCCACTAAACTCCATCGTCCAGGTGCCCAACCCCTAGGAAACTAAGGTTTGAAGTTTAGGATTACTAGACTGCCCATTGCAACGTTGCTTGCAAAACCATTTTTTAGCGATTTTTTTGGGGTAAAAACTAATTTATTTAATCTAATCAAGAAGTCGGACATGCGACAGAATACGCGATTGAATGCGAGCGTGGTTCGTAGAATGCCTATCTCCCGTTGGAATGTTAGGGATGACATGGAAAGAATTAGGGACAAACTAGAGTTTCGTGGCGTAGTGATAACACGTTTGCTTCGTAATCAGGAAGTCTAGGGTTCGGATCGCGTAATTTTGTTTTAAATCTTCTTATGCCACCCGAACTTTTCCCCCACCCCCTTCTGGCTATTACGTTCTCGAGAATGGATCCGACAGTCGCAAGGTCCGGAAAAAAAAGTGCTCCTCCACAAGAGGGAGACGTACACCCTTTGGCAGGCAGAAAGCGACGCACATGCTCACATGGACTTGTTGCGGACATGCACTCAGACCCAAGCATCGGAGGCTTCATATGCACGAACGCAGCTTCATTGTGTTTTTATTAATAATATATAGGACTAGCTGAAGTACCCGGCGTTGCCCGGGGAAATTCAATATTTCATGCATGACAAATTGGGGAAAGTAAGCCTTATGGTCTCCTATAAGTTATCGATCTTGTGTGTCGCAAAATGCTCTCGGACCCCTTTCCCTTTTTAAATTTTTTTTGCAAACTTTAAGTAGTTTATAAATTATTTTTAAGGGAAAAAAACTTCTTGTAAAATCCTTTTATCGTTTTGAAAAATATTTTCGATTAAAACTTGATCAAAAGAATATTACTTACTACCTACTGTAGTGATCCAGAAATGGGATTACCCCGGGATACTGTAATGCAGGTGGCCGGCAGGGGAGAGTTGGATGACATGAGAGGACAAAAAAAAGCTGGGGACGGCCGGGGATCGAACTCGGGCCCTCTAATCGTTGGTCAGGTATGCTACCACTGCACCACCGAATCTGCCATCGCAGATAATACAGCCCCCCAGAAAAGTACCCCGGGATTGAAAATTTTGGATGGAAGCATAGCCCTCGACCTTCCCTGGATGAAAGAGGAGGCCATGCAAAAACCATTGGTTGCACTGGCTCCTGCGGGGTCCGAATGCATAAAGGAACAGACAGTCAGACAAACTTTCTTCTTTATATATATAGAGATGGGTCACACCGATCCAGCCTCACAAAAGCACTCTCGTTCATTAGTTAGGTATATGCCTAGATATGAACATGTCCAATTCCACCATGTGAGATGCTCGGGAGAATTTTCTTCCCTTTTGCTTGTTTGCTGCGATAGACTTTAGGCTAGGCGTAATTTTAGCCACCCTCATATCTGCCCTAAATCAAGAATTTTTCGGTGATCGTAATGTATTCTGGGCGATTGGCTAAACTGCTCAACGAACCATGATGAAGTACACACAAAAAATCCAAACGGTAGATAAAAAACAAGGGATTTTACCACTGCACCACCGAATCCAGGAGTCAATGGCACCTCTCAATGCCATCTCAGACAATACACCCCCCTCGGAAAAGTACCCCGGGAGTGAAAATTTTGGATGGAAACATAGCCCTCGACCTTTCCTGGATGAAAGAGGAGGCCATGCAATGTTTGGTTGCACTGGCTCCAAGGGGTCCGAATGCATAAAAGAACAGACAGGCAAACTTTCTTCTTTATATATATTTGTATATACATATTTGTATATAGAATACAAGAATACACAAAAAATCCTAACGGCAGATAAAAAACAAGGGATTTTTTTTTTACCGTGAAGGAATATATTGAATCGAAGTTGACTTAATGTTAACACTTCCACCCTGAATAGTGCAGCATTGATTCAATGTTGAGTCAATGTGGGTGTTTAAACGGTGATGGTCACCTCGTTGAATTAATGTTGATTCAGCATAGAAGTATTAACCTTCAACAGTGAAACATTCGATCCACACCAAATCAACGTTGAATCAATGTAATGTGCTACCTGGGATGGCGGCTCGTCAACATTCACTTTTAAGGGATTTTCCCGATTTTTCAATCCAACTTTCTTCTGAATACAGTACTTACACGCAGCAAACATTCCCGACACAGCAGGCGCAATAGGTTCTCAGAGGAACCAATAGGCCCTATTGAATCGTTCCAAGACTTCCCTCTATCACGCATATGGCTCCAATACTTCAGTTTAGGCTAATGGCAGCAAAGAGCGATTGGGAATAGGTATAAGCAGAATCCAAGCGATTCTTTTGTCGCAAAACTACTTTAGTTTGTTGCCCTTTGAACGTGCACTCGAAATTCGTTTGACTTTATGCCTTAGATCTGCTGTAAAATAGGTCGACTGTGATGATGCAAGGGCGGCGTAACGTTATCGCCTTCGTAGGCCCAGCAATTTCAGCATAGGCAAGCCTGGAACTTGAGGCCCGGTCAAAAAATTGGGGACTCGCACCCATGAAAGAAAAACCGTTCCGGCCTGACGTTATCAGGCCTATGAAACTCCCCCCTGAATTATTAGGCCTCCAGTACCATGATTGCCTTTCATCATGTTCACGACAACAAGAAATGAGAGAAAGGAAATGATGAAAATCCCATTGTAGCGAATGGAGAAGAGTCGCCATGATACCAACCCCTTTGTATTGTGCGCTACCTCCAGTTCTTTTTCTTTGCTCAGTGAAATCCTCACGTCATGCTTGCTTCCTTCAAGACACGAGTTATGCCATGACTCTATTTTGTGACGTCATTAGGCTGCGGACTATCAGACGAGGGCTCTGCTGTGTCATTGTATTGGGCGTGTCCTTTATGCTAGCTAGTGACATTTTAAGGCTTTGCTGCTCAGAGTTCTCATAGTTCGCTATACTCCACTCCCAGCTGCTTGCCCAATAGTGACGTCATTCAATGACGTGGTCTTGCCCAGCCAACGCGTCTTTTTTTTGCCATTCGCTGCTAGCGGCTGGAGAAAAAGACGCACCCATTATTTTGAAATTAGAACCCGGGAGCCCTTAAGAATCTATACCACAATGCACATGCGCGTGCAACCCATACGTTGGACGCGGTATCGTGTCAACAATTGGAGCTGTCAGTGTCTATCAGCCTTCGTGGTGGAAGGATCCAATCACGCTCAACCTTCCATCTTCTCGTCATCATTTCATGGGCACCGTTTGTCCGTACTAAATCTATTTGTGAAATTAGATTTTTGATGGTGGAAGACCGGAAATGAAGGCATTTTGTTTACTCGAGTGACAAAATGAGAGTCCTCTTAACTGAAAGGAAGCCCACTATTGGACTGCACTTGCCTAGTGTGTTGTTATAAATATAAATGAATAAATGCATATAAATATGATAAACATAATGAATATTAAATGGGATGAAAATTAGTACCTTCCTTTAATTGGCATACGAAAATGTATAAAAGTGCAAGCTAACCAATGTCTTTAAATATTGTCTGCATTCGATTTTTTCGTGAGATTATTTCAGGAAGAATCTTTTTCCTAGGCATCCCACAAATGTTGAGTCGAGGGGGACGATCATTGACTTGTGCAATGGAATTCCGAATGACCTTTTTGTTGTAGAGTTGCAGCGAATTTCAGTGAACGCCTGAAGGAAGTGCTCAGAGGAGACGATTCACATATCGGGCATATACTAAACCATTGAAACAATTTCCTTCAACTCTCTCAATATATATTATTGCTATCAGTAAGTAAAAAAGAAAAAACTTGAATATTTGGGATAAAAACATGCCAACATATCATGCCCCACCCTGTACAAAGCCATTCATTTGCTTAATAAATGCAAATCATGCGGGTACAGGCTTTATATGAAAGCAAGAATGTTATTGATACATTCCAATTCATATTCATTTAAGTTTCTCAGAAACAGGTTCACGACAAAGCTCCTACTTCCACATAAGGACTCTCACAAGATGCAGCACTTTGCATAGATTCCCCTCTATGTTCCTGACCCTTTCCTTGGGGACTCGCCTCCAATTCAGAGTTTGTGGTGAGATGTAAGGAACTTGCTTGTTTTTGTGCGGGCAAAGCACTGGCTTGAACGTAAGCAATGCTTTGGACTTTCTTTAGCGTCGCCATTCGGATGCTGTCAAATTTCTTCATGAGTTCCCCTTCATCAAGGGACACATCATAATCACTGCCGAGAAACCTGTCGTCATCATGTTCTTCCTTAGATGCATTTTCTTCATCCTCAAGGTCAACACAAATGTATTTTGTATCTTCTTCACTGGATGCGACGCATGCTTGAACTTGGCTTTGTGTCTTGGTTGCGGGACTGCCAAGTGTGGAGCCTTGGATGCCAGGAAAAGATTCCTGCAATATTATAAATGATTTTTTTTTTATAGTGTGAGACCGAGGAAAGCCATGTTGCTTCAATCTCTCAATGATGAAAGATAAAAAGGAAAAATACGAGCCTTGAAAAAAATTTAAAAAAACTCCAAAGGCTCGAAAATGCAAAACTAAGCTCCCCAAAATTGCAGTTGGCATTAAATGCTACATACCAAATAAACATTTTTCCAATGCGTGGGTAACGAGCTCCTGAGGTAAATCTGTTTGTAGCAGATGTGCAACAGTCCGGTCCTTATACCTAACAATTATACAGTCGCTTAGTGCCATACATTCCTGGTGGCAAACAAATTAAAAACATCTCGCTTCGTCGTTTGACAGATTGACGCTTTTAGTATGCTAATCCAGCGTCTATGCTAATTGTATGCTAATCCAGCGTCTAGGTTCATCCGCATTTTTACAGTTTATTTTGCCTTCGGGTATGCAATATTGTTGACTGAGCTCTCTAGTGTCCGTGCAGCGCGGTTTAGAGAGCTAAAAATGCTGTTTGTAGCTAATGAGCAACAAAATTTTTCGGCCTACAGCTTACAAATTTAGGGAAACAATTTTTTTCCACTTTTCCCATGTTCTAGAACGTAAGTGAAACCTACCAGATTCTTTTCGCCGAAAAAAAAAATTAGAAAAAATCATGCATTAAAGGGTTAACAGAGCAGAAATAATGCTACCCGATGAGGCGTTTTCATCGCGAGCGACTTTAATGTAGAAACGTAGTGTCCATTACTAACTTTCCGTAGCAAAACCTGCTTTGTACTATAGAAACAATTCATATATACTTTCGGGACATATTATTCAAAACACCGATTTTTAGCATTTCATGTTGTAACTACCAGAATATATTAATAGAAAGCATACTGAATAGAAGAAAGGCCATTCGAATCTCCTCATTGATAAAAAAAAGACCACTCTAGAGGAGCATGAATATGGTCGACAGGAAATAAACATGCTGTAGCATGAAAATCCGCTTCCTGATAATACCTCTTCCAGTATTCCAACTCGGAAGTATGATACTGATGTGTATGCGTGGGCTCCTGTTTCTGAGTTCCTCCTTTGAAGCTGGATCGCATCATCCGTGGGAGGAGGCACATCTTTTCCCAAGTCTGGCAAGGGATTTTTCTGTTTCGAAAGGGAATGAAGTTTCCTTTTACTAACATGGACTTGAAACTTCCATTTAACCCTTTCAGTATTGAGTTAAATCGCAGCACTCTCCCTCCCAGCCAGAGCTTTTTTTCGATTGTCGATATATTTCGATATATGGAGTCACCTACCTACTGCCGAAAAACGCCGAGACCCAACTACCAAAGAATTACAGGCCTATCACCTGCCTGCCAACCGTCTACAAAGTGCTGTCTTCTATCCTAGCGGCACGAACAGCTCTTACTCAACCGTATGATCATGGATGATGCCAGAACCAGGAAGAAGAATCTCTCGATGGCATGGATCGACTACCAGAAGGCATACGACTCGGTGCCCCATTCATGGATCATCGAGTGCCTCAGGATGTACAACATCAACCCTGTGGTGGTCGACTTCCTAGAACAGACCATGCCCCACTGGAAGACGGTCATGTCCCTCAAGGGACAGGACTCCACTCTGACAACGCGCGAGAT